AGTTCACCTGGCCTTTGCTCTGTGCGGATGCAAGGCTTTGGTCAGTTGCATAGCGGGAACCGTCCTCCTCTTCCGAGTACAGAGTCTGATCGCCTTTGCCGCCCATCTCGACAAACTCGTTAGGATTCCGCTCATCGGCAGGCCTTACCTCTGCGGCACCATGGGTCTTGCCATTCATCTTCGTACCGTTCTCAACTCCATTCTTTGCGTAAACCTTGACGGGCTCCTGGCCTTCAGCGGCGTTGATGACACGGGTGACTTTAACATCGTTAATGCTACTAAGCATAGTGCGCTCCCGCTGTATCTTGCGCTTGGAGAAATCGAGCTTGGATATGGCCCCCGTAAGACCGTCTGTGCTGTCGGTGACGCTTATTCTGTCTTGCGTAGTCCACGGGTGCTGCAGGCATTCATCAATCGATATCCGTTTCTCAACATCGACTGTGAGCATCTTGTCGATGAGATCCAGCGCAGGGTCGCCAACGGAATCCCAGTACGGTGACGGATAGTCGAAGCGGCCCATTTTGATCTGTTGTGATAGTGTGTATGGGTTGTCCTCACTGTACAGCTCGTCTGAGAATGGAGGAAATCCACACAGGCAGATGTACAGGACGACGCCCAATGACCAAACGTCGACAGCTCTGGTGTAGCGGCGGTGGTTGGAATTTTCCAGGATTTCGGGCGCAACGTCTGAGAAACATTAGCATACTGTCGTACTTTGGAATAGAACAACATACATGATGGAGTTCCACACAGTGTGGTTGTGAAAGATTCTTCGCCGATGATTTTGGCAAGACCGAAATCAGCCAACTTGATCGACAGATCCTTATCTGTGAGCAAGATGTTCTCGGGCTTGATATCTCTGTGTACAATGTTGCGCTCATGCTGATATGTGTTAACGTTGAACCAGAAGGGTATCTGGGGACTTACCAGGTACTTAACCGACTGGAACAATTGTACAAACACCTTGCGTGCCTCCGTCTCGGTCAACTTTTGTTTCATGACGATCCAGTTGAACAGCTCGCCCTCAGTCGCGAGCTCGAGCACTAGGTAGACACCATCATCCTCATCAAATGTGTCCTTGAGACACAGCAGCGCCGGGTGGCTAACGCTCATCAACACGGCAATCTCTTGCTGCAGACCCTCGACCTTGGACTTCTCGCCAGGACCAGAACGCTTTTCGAACTTCTTCACTGCGTACCGTACGCCTGTCGCTTTCTCTGCGCACAGGTATACTGAAGCAAAATGTCCCTTGCCTAACTGCTCCTGCATGGTGTATTGTTGTCGGAATCGGTGGGTGTTGCGCTTCAACGGGTATCTGAAGACATAGCGGGCTTGGTCCAAGATAGCAATCTCGTCACCTTCGCGCAATTCGCGTCGCTTGTTCCGTCCAACGAAGATGTCGTTGACAAATGTTCCGTTTCCAGACAAGTCTTCGAGTACAGCGACCACATCGCCGCCTTTCTTCTCTGTGAACAGCAGACAGTGACGGTTTGAGACGGTGGGTGAACTGAGGACTCGATCTGTGACATGGTCAGACAAGCGCTCTTTTGCAGGGACTGTTCTCGCGACTTACCGCACTCTCTGTGACGACCGATGAGGTAGCCACCTGCTGGCACACCGCGCTCCTGCTTCTCCTTCTCGTACCTGTCCTCCTGCTGTTTGTACTCTTCTTTTGGTACCCGCTCCGTTCCTTCGGTCTGGCCAACGAGTGCCTGAGGAACAGGACATGCTTGTCGGCGGCGCAGTACTAGCACGTCTTTGTCCCGGCCATCCATAGGCACCAGGTAGCCCCAGACCTCTTCTTCCTCTTCATCTTCTACGGCGTACGTCCGGCTGTCGGGCGGGTAGACGAACTGGGAGAAGGGCTGGGTGTCGGATGGGGGCGACGAGAGACCACCGCGTGCCTGGCTTGGCTTGCTAGGCGGGGGGCTCTGTGTGCCTTCTTTGTAGCCTTCCGAAGCATCTCCGGTGGATTCCTTGTGGGTTACGGGCGAAGGCAACGGTCCCTGCTTAAGACGGCCGTTGGGAGGCGGCGACAGGCGCGAGTGGCGAGTGCGCTTTGGTTCGGCCTCTTCGCCCTGCGAGTACTACAGCAATTGAAGCGTCAGCGCCCGCTCCCAGTCACATACTTGGCGGTACAACGGCTACCTACGCGGTTTCGCTTGAGCTGGCTTTTCTCAGTCTGGGCCGGCATCTTGACAACAAGGGCGAGTAGTGGAGTCGAGACGGAGACGGCGACGGAGACGGGGTCAATGCTGGGGCGGGTATGGCTGTCTAGATAGGCAGCATAGTGTTGCGAACGATGGAAACGAATAGTAAGGGCGGGCGAGTCTGGGCCGCTAAGCTGGACTGAGATTGAACGTCCGCAGGCCCTCGAGCCTTGGACGATGTTGCAGGCAGCCAAGCCCTGGAGCCGGGGAAGTCGCGTCGCATCCCTGCCGATTTGCGCGTGGCGAGCCTGCCGCCCTGTTAAGTGGCCCGGAGTGACGCACCGGCTACACCTCTGCCACCCATGACAGCTTCCTCATTTGCATTACTCAGCCCGAACAAAACCACGCACAAGCATGCTTCCAGGTTTTCCTCTCCTCGATGCAATTGAGTTTGAGCAGGCCTGCGATGCGCTGCAGCGATGCTTCCAGCTGAGAGGTAGCGCGCAGCACGAGTGGCTTTCCGTGGAGAAGAGGCACCGAAATGGGTCCGTATATCTCAACATTACCACCCATCTGCCGTTCTGCGCAGATCGACCTGCGGTGCATGATCGGGACGCTATTGAAGAGGAGGAAGTAGTAGACGACGACGAGGTGGGTGACGCCAGGGCCCTGATCTGCCGACACGAGCTCAATTCAGGTAGGAAGCTCTTCACGACGCCGTAGCACCCCAGCCAGTTGTAGACTACGATATTGTCCTATCGGATGTCTATCGCGTGCCCGTCTTGTACATCAGCATTTGTGACCCTGAGCACCGGTATCCGCCGACAATGACTACGTTGTACGAGCACTTGGTCCCGCCACAGTTCAAAGCGCAGACAGAGAATGTTGGTGTCATTGGAGGCATTACCATTACCGTGAGAAGTGTATTCTCATGTATTGGATTCAACTAACCATCGCAGGAGCACCCGCTCACCAACAGGCCCGTGTTCTTCATCCATCCATGTCAGACGGCTGATGTGATGGAGGCCAGTGTCGAGAGCGTCATAACTGCAGATGAGTATCTGACCATATGGATAGGGGCCATGGGAAAGGCCGTTGGTCTGAATATGCCGTTACAACTAGCAATACCAAACGATACTTGATATTGATATGCTTGATTTACAATTCGTGTCACAGTACAATACAACTACAACCGCATCCGTACACTTGCCTTCTCTAGCTCGCCAATGTTGCCCATACCCGCCAGGCTCCACTTCTCCGCCACGAAGCCCTCATTGACTTGGTGTCGTAGCATCCCGCTTTCGGCGTAGTACTCCATGATCGACCGGGCCTCTTCCTTGGTCAGCCCGCCGACATTGATAATGTCAAGCCCCTTGGAGTCGCTGTGGAGATCCTTGAGAGCCTCCATGACGCGCAAGTCTACGCTCTTGTAGGGGTTCCATTCTGGCAGTTTGTCTGCAGACTTCTGACGGGCTTCGGCTGCTTCGATGCAGTGGTCCATGGCTGGTGACGTAGGCGCGTTTGATCGTGATGTTGCGCCGAGCACCACGCCGCCGTTGGGTAGTTTCCTTTGACCTGAAAGGTGATCGACGAAGTGGCGTACAAGAGTCAGGTCGTGAGCGTGAATTGGCTTTACTTCTGCAGACATGTACTCGGAGTGGCGCATGATATGCGACAGGCCATCGAGCGCAAGCAGAATTTGTGGACGACCGGGCAGAGATAGTTCATTCCATAACGCGACGAAGACTGGCCATGATGCCTCGGGGTTGGCCATACCAAGCGCCGCCAGCTCTTTCAGTGTAGCACCCGCAGGAAGCGGCAGAGGCAGTTCAGGCTGCGTGTTCAGTTTTGTGGCAGCAAGGAATGCTCCGTTGGACAGGAGGATTTGCTGGAGAAGATTTGCCGTGTACGTATCTTGAGTATACTGCATCGGTTCTGAGTTGGGAAGAGGCGCATAGTCTGTATGCGCGTTGACGAGGGTTTGGGCTGGGAGTTGTCAGTGGCATGTCTCTGCCTCGAAACCACAGTCCATACCTTCTGGGATGTTGATCACAAACCAGTCCCGTAGAAAACCCATGGTAAGGCCCTGAAGTACCAATGTGCTCTTCCCGCTCATTCTTTGTCCGCATAGTACCCGTCTTATCGTCTTCTTGGAGCTCTCGGCCTCGTTGAACAGCCTCGCGAGTTCAATCGCCTCCTTCCTCATCAACACGGCTGGTCGGCGGAACAGACCCCATCCCTGGCTTGTCTTGAATGCCTCGACGGCTCGCAGCGCGTCCACTACAGTCTCTTGCGGTAGTCCCATGACCTTGCCCTCATTCTGTTCGCTGAGCACATTGTCCTTGGTGAGGTCCCGCAGCGAAGATACTTCGAGTGCGTTGTCGTTGCTCAGAACGATGCGCTTCCGCTGGGCTTTTCGCTCTCCTTGGGCCGGCCGCTTGCCCGAGTCACCTCCTGATGCTCCTCTGCCCTTCTTCGTGTTCAGAGACTTGACACCCTTCTTGGGGGCGGCGGTCATGCCCTTCTTCTTGGGTCCTGTCACGGCGTAGCGGGCGGACGACGTGGAAAAGCAGGCTATCTGGGGGCGTAGCACGCGCGGTGCAATGCATCCATGGGCGGCGGCATCAAGCGACAGCTGCGAGAAGCTCCGGAGACATGTGGACGGCGGCATGACAGGTGGTCGAGGCTCTGGCCCTCCGCAATGGGCGAATTGGCGATGCTAGAGACGAATTCTGTGATGGTCGCAGCCTCGGGAGTCCGCCGCTCGTGCACGGACTCGAAATTTATTCTGAACTTTTGGCAGCAGGCGCGCAAAGTGAAATTCTACCAACACCACTCGACCCTCGCAAAATGTCAGACACCGAAATGGACGGCGGCGTCGCGCTCGGTGGCACTTCGCCCACGCATTCCCAGCTCGCCGACGAAATCAACGGAGGCGCCATGGACGTCAAGTCCAACGGCGCACCTTCCGTCGCAGACTCGACCGTCTCCAGCCGACTGTACGTCGCATGCTTGCTTTGTCCTCTACCACACCGTTGCTGACTCAACACAGACCCGTTACGGTGAACAAGTCCACGCCCTTCACCTTTGACCTGGGCAACCTGCTCGCAAACGACCCCAACCCCGTCCCCGCCGGCGCCGACGAAGCCACCCTCGCTGCCACTGCCCGCGATGCCGCTCAAGCCCTCATCAACCAGCTCCTCTCGACCTGCGAAATCAAGTCAAACTCAGAGGGCGTCCACCTCGTGCTTCCCGCGCCGACAACACCCCTCCCCCGCGAGAAGCCTATTCCCGAAGCCAAGGAGCCCACCAAGTGGGACAAGTTCGCTGCGAAGAAGGGCATCAAGAACACGAAGCGCGACACCAAGCTGGCTTACGACGAGGCCACGGGCGACTGGGTACCCAAGTGGGGTTACAAGGGCAAGAACAAGGCGGGCGAGAACGACTGGCTGGTCGAGGTTGACGAGAAGAAGGAAGCCAAGACCGGTGAGGCTCACGACCAGAGGGCGGATAATCGGAAAGACCGGAAGGAGAGGATGCGCCGCAACGAGAGGAAGGAACGCGCGAACAGCGTCAAGTCTCGCAAGGTTGGTGCGTGAGCTGGAGCACTTGACCTTTACCTGAGAGAGGCCAATTTATAAAACGACATGCATTGGGCGGCGTTAATCTTACGGCATGTATTCGACTTACGGGCGCAGGGCTAAAAGCTTGCGAACTTGCACTTTATTGATTCTTTCCGAGGCTGCAACATTGTCTCCCAGATACCATGAGCAACCACGCCGTCGAATATACCATTTCTGCACTTTATCGAGCTACGCGTTTACTATCCAAGTGAAAATGAGTCGGAAGTTTGGAAGCTTACTTCAACAAGCCAAGGTTCAGAAGTTTCGACAGTGCCATGTCTATTGCGACACGCCTAGAGTCCGCTCTACTGTTCTGCCTAAGCTCCAATCCTACATTTTAAAGAGTATATAAGAAATCTGGCCGCTGGTCCCCCATCTCCTCAATCTCTTTTTCACTCTTACCCTCAATCCAGTGGTCCCGCGCCCCCTGCCTCCTCTTCTTGTTCTCCCATGCAAGCAGAAATCGGGTCACAATGCTACCGCCAAGCAGCCACAACGTCAGATACGCCAGAACCACACCATGTCCCAGGAAATAGCGCGGCTTATCCCTGCTGCGGTAGATGTTCGACGAAACGACGCCATTGATGTTGCCCCAGCCTATCACAAAGCCAAGGGTGACGCCACGCTTGTACACGCCCTCGACGTTGTTGGCGGCCCAGGATATAGTGTTCGCTATCGTTGCTAGTGGAGAATGTTAGAACCAAGCGATCCATGCTGCTAAATGAGTTCACTTACGATAGATACCCACAGCTCCCAAAAATGTGCCCGCGTACTGAACGTTCGGACTGGCAGACCCGAGCAACATGGCAAAGCCCACAATACCAAACAGCGAGACTCCCATGTTGCAGTAACCCCTTTGTTGCGTGCGATCAGCAATATAACCCACTACCACCGTCACCACAGCTGCAACTGCATACGGTGGCACGGAAAGCAGGTTCGCTGTCGTAGACTTATAGCCCAACCCAGCTATGATGGTGGGCAGGAAGAGACTGAAGGCATAGAGCGAACCGTCTGCGCCCATGTAGATGATGCTGAACATGAGCGTCTTCCAGTCCTTGATAGATTGCCAAAAGTACTTGGTCTGGAACTCTTCGTGCGCAGCTGAGGCCTGTTTATCGGCGCGTAGACGGCGGAGAACGCGCGCTCGGTCGTCAGGAGAGAGAAACGTGGCTTCGGCGGGGAAGTCGTGGACCATCCAGTAACTTGCTATTCCTACGAGGATAGTGGCGAGACCTTCAAGGATCTGGGGTTATTGTCAGCAACATGGTCACAGGTAAGAGGAAGCGTTCGAGGTGCACTTACAAAGATCCACGCCCAGCCTGGCTTTCCGCCTACGCCTCCCATCTGCGCAATTCCAGCGGCGAGTAAGCCACCAAAACTACCAGCTAGAGCGGCAGCCGAAAAGAAGATTGCAGCTCGGATGCCGAACTCGGAACGTTTGTACCAGCAACTCAGGTAGTAGTTCACTCCAGGAAACAGTCCAGCCTCAGCACATCCCAGCCACCACCGCTACGCGTCGTCAGCAAAATTACCCTTGATACCAGATTACCAACCGCAAAAGACTCACCGCAGTCATAAGACCAGCATAATTATGCACCAACCCCATACACGTCATGCAAATCCCCCACCAGATCATGATAAGTGGTAAGAAGATACTGGGGCGTAACTTCTTCAACAGCACATTGGTCAGCGGCTCAAAGACGGAGTAGCTGACGAAGAAGATGGTCAGACTGGCATTGTACTGGCCGTCAGTCATGTTGAGATCTTCTTGCAAGCCATCGACTTTGGCGTTGCCAATGTTCGTGCGATCTAGGAAGGAGATCAAGTAGAGGAAGGAGAGCCATGGAATTAGTCGGAAGTCGAGTTTGCGCAGGAGGGCTTTGTCCTGTGGGGTGAATGTTAGTATGTGTATGGCAAGGAGCTGAGATGTGGCTTACATGCGCAGCGCGTTCTTCTTCGCTGAGACCGGCATCGGGATCAGGTAGGTTCTCGATCGTGTGGACATGTTTTGCCGTCTCAACATGCTCCTCGCCGATAGTCTTCTCTTCCTCGCTCGACCTATCAATCGGCCGCTCTACTCCAGAGGCCATGTTGTTAACGTAGACACAGGGCGTGAGCTAGTAGCTGGGCAAGATGTCAAGCCTCAAACAAGCCTCTTAGTGAATTCCAGTGCCCAGAGCGCAGAAAAGGGTTCGCGCAAGAACGTCAAGCAACAAATCGCGGTCCGAAAGAATCACAAGTCAGTAATCTCAACCATGGAACTGGGAACTTGCTTGTCCGGAATTACCCCTCGATCAGCGAGCGAGACGCAGTCCCTTAAGAACGTCACCGACTGTCGAACCACTGGAGAAAGCGGCTGGGGTATCATCAGCCCGAGGCTATTGAGCCGCCTATCATCTAGTCCACTCATGATGATCTTATTCCGATGACGGCAGGGACTGGTGTGCATTTCTCCAGGATCCAATCCCCACCATCCACTCCCTAGCGCTTGCCGATCCCTGGCTTCACCATGGGAATTTCTCCCGCGGAGAGTCGGGGTTCAGAAGTAGGAGCGAAGTGCCGTTCATGTGAGTATCTGACTGACTGTATGATTATGCTGAAACTTTGATTCTATATCCTCAGCATTTACTCATTTCCTTGGATCTTTCCATGTTCACAGCGGTAATAAGCTGTGGTTGTGACGAGGAGGCTCGTGTCGCATGTGGCCCACTATTCACATCCCCCGCTAGTGGCCGTCTAGAAGATACGATACAGCGTCGACAGAACGTATTTGATGCCGCCTCATCCTTTGAAGCAAACGATGTGCACATTCGTTTCAGATCTCAACGGCACAGCATTGTGGGTGCCGAGCATTGAGGCGTTGTATGCCGAGCATTCAAGCGTGAAGGGCGTTGCAACGTGTGCGGGGGTCAAAGATGCGGGGGACGGCTAAGCTTCCACATAAGCATGCGCTTGTGACGTTGCTTGCTTAGACATCACCAAGTGCTTATCTGCTAGCAATACGGATATAATCGTGCGGAATTAAGCACTTCTCGACACTGTAAGTCGAAAAATGTACAGCTTTTTAATCCTTCTAGCGAGAGAGTGTCATCAAATCCCATGAAGGAGAGGCGCGGATCGATGCGCTGAAGCAAGGCTCGGTACCCGTCCATTCGGTGCTTCCTGCCGGACTTCCCTACTGCGGTAGTGCCGAAATCGCTAAATGCTTCAGCATGGAGCCACCATGATAGTATCCACACAGCGTCTCGTGACCAACAATGTGGATATACCGTAAATTGTTCATGATCGTTTTCCAAGGCACGCGCCCGCGTTATCATCCGGTCTGTGTGTAGCCGCGATTTCAGAAGCCTGTTTCTCACAAGTATCTTGAGCCAGCGCTCCACTCGATGTGGGCCCGCTCTGGTCGATTTTAGCCTCCACATACTCATTCCCTTCTTTTCTTTCAGGTATGAGGCCGAATAGCCCGGATCGCTTTCTGACGATGGCTAAAATGACCGCGACGATGACATTGAGTCCTGTGAACGCCAGCATGACTTGGAACTGTCTGTTGTCTGGCACGGTGGTGCTAATCAGCATGTATGTCTCGTATAGCTATATTTCCAGGGAACTGAAACTTACAGCTGTTACCAAAGACAACACCAACACGATCCCTCGCCGCATCCGGTAAGTGCGCAATCAACGATGTCGAACTTTGCATTTCCCTGATTTCCTCGCGACTCAAAAAACTGGACAACCCTGTGTTCAAGTGCTCGCGATGGATTGCAGAGCAGATGGCGACGGCGACACATCCGCCAAGCGTCCGCACCATATTGAGCGCTCCGGTACCGACAGCGATGTCCTTTTCTGGAATTGAGGTAGCGACAAGCACGAAATATGGCGGACTTGCAAGACCCAAAGCAAGACCAGTAATAATTTCGTAACCGTACAGTCCAGGCCACAGATGAGAGTAGGTCGGCAAACTACTAAGAAGTCCAATACCAACGCATACGATCGCTGTCGAGCCAATCAAAACAATCTCAACTGGTGCTTTCTTTACTGCTAGTCCAGACGCCATAGCACCAATCGGAGTCACAACGGTAGCAGGAAGCAGAAGGATACCGGCACGCTCCGCGCTTGTGAAATTCACTCCCTGAAAGCGTTGTGGCAGCTGGACGAAGACAACGTAAAATGCGAATCCTAAGAGAAACTGACTTCTGTCCCGTTGTTAGCGGAGTCCGACTGCAGTGTTCCAGACTTACAACAGAGTCAACGCCATGGATACATTCCGAAGAAAGTGTACAGGAAAGACGGGGGCTTTCTGCGTTCTGGACGATATCCAATACTCATACAACCCAAAGAGTACCAGGAGAGCGATTCCAGCTACAAGTGGTCCGATGGTAACACCACTGCCCCAGGCATGCAACACACCGGCTTCCTGAAGGGCGTAGATGAGAGGTATAGGCCAGCAGACAGACAAGATGCCACCATAGATGTCCAAATGGCGTATGCGTTGCAGATTCGTTCTACCGTCATCGAATGCAGGCATCGAGAAAAACAGCATTGCCATTGCGACACCGATTATGGGGCCACTAATGCTAGTCAGCCCGCACAGCTCGATAGTCCGCGCTTTGCATACTTCATGAAGAATATCCATCTCCAAGTTGTTCGATCAGCGATGATGCCACCGAGTAGAGGTCCTAGCAGGTTTGCCAAAGCGAATACCGAGCTTACGATCCCGGAGTAGAAACCAATCTTCTCAGGGACAATCATCTTCATGATGGCGACGAATGTCAAGCTGTAGAGGCCAGATCCTCCAATGCCTTGGAAGGCGCGGAACACGATTAGTTGAGTCATTGTCTGCGCTCCACCACAAGCCATTGAGGATACCAGGAAGATTGACGCGCAAAGTAAGAGGAGACTCTTGAGGCCCCAAATGTCGCTCAGCTTTGCTGTGATCATCAAGAAAGCTGCACCGTTAGTCTAGTGACCAGACCCCT